TGATCTTGTTTAGTTGTAGAATTTGGAGGAGGGCATTAAGTTTGGGGGAAGTTGACAATTATCCGCCCCCTCCCCCCCTCCCCCTCCCCCCAAAGCTCTGGTGGTGGAAATATCAACCAACATAGTTGGTAGGGGGGGGGGGCGCCTAGTAGTAGTAGTAGTAGTAGTAGTAGTAGTAGTAGAGGAGGAGGAGGAGGAGTAGGAGTAGGAGTAGGAGTAGGAGTAGGAGTAGGAGTAGGAGTAGGAGTAGTAGTAGTAGTAGTAGTAGTAGTAGTAGGAGTAGGAGTAGTAGTAGTTGTCGTACTACTACTACTACTACTACTACTACTACTGCTACTACTGCTACTACTACTACTAGTAGTAGTAGTAGTAGGAGGAGGAGGAGTAGTAGTAATAGTAGGAGTAGGAGTAGTAGTGGTCGTCGTCGTCATCGTCGTCGTCGTCGCCGTCATCGTCGTCGTCGTCGTCGTCGTCGTAGTAGTAGTAGTAGTGGCGGTAGTAGAAGAAAAAGAAGTAGTAGTAGTAATAATAATATTAGTGAAAGTAGTCCCTCAGGGCACCCGCCGACAATGCAGGTAGCAGCAGTGGCTACCACTTCCCTCTGGCGGGTAGCGCTGAGACTCCAGCAGGCAATCTGAACCCCGCCTCGACGTATCCAGACCTACAGCCTTTCCTGGAGGCGCTTTCATCCAAGGCGCGAAGCCTTTTTGGCTTCTGGCTTCCGGTCACAGACGGAGTGTGGGGCTTCTACATAATGGCTTGCTGCATTTAAGGCAAATTTAGGGTTTATCTGCCTTTAGAAAATGTCCTGTTGTCAAAGCCCTTGACATTCCTTAAGTTCACGTCAAACTTCATTTGCCTTGACATATTTCCATAAACAGGGCTCCCCCTCCTATATCCCAAATGGTCATTGGGCCTGAAAAGAGAGCCCTGACTGCCCCACATTTTTTAGAAAACTACAAAATGAAAAGGCGCGGACACTTGAAGGCTGCCAGGCTTCATTAGCTGTTTATTGCTCTTAAGTTCTGCTGGGTTGTAGGGATTTCCCTAAACCCTACACCCGGATTGAGGGCTCTAGGATTCATGGTTTTGGAGGTCTGCAGGGCTTGGTTTTAGGGCAGGTTTTCTGGGTATAGGGCTCTAGCTTAAGACTGTTTGTGAGTGCTGTTATACCTGAGTTGGATTGAGGCCTTGTCGAGTGTGCCAGCTAGAGATTAAGGGGCTCGAAAGCAATGTGAGCGTATATCCTCCAAAGCAAACTTGGCATCACATGTAGACCTCCGTCAAGAAAGGTAATCCTTCCAGGGTTTCTTGTGGAGTTACATCTTTGGATGCGGCAGATGGACAGAGACAGTACGTAAACTCTGCTGATACTGGAACCCCCGACCACCTACTAATACTTTTGCCACTACACTAGAACACGCTATATAATCACAGTTTCCATATCACTTTTCGTATGATTCTCCATAATTGGTTCCTATGTCTCTAATGTAGCCTTATATATCCCAGCACTTTCATTCAAAGGGAAGAGCCTTTGCTTTCTTCCTTGCAGCCAAGGATGCTTATGCAGCGATGCCTGTGGCCGGAAGGCAGGCGAGCCAGATCGCAGAGACTGGTGTTTTGTGAAGGACGGGGAGGGTTTTGGGTTTATGGATGTGGTTCGCTTGGCTTTTGGTGTTCTTCGCTTTGCTACGATTATTCTAGTGGGCTTATTGGGCTTATTGGGCTTTTTGGTTCTGAAGGGATTGAAGCTGGGGGAGGCGGGGGGCTTCTGGTTGACCTCTTTCATTCTCAAAGTATAAAATTTTAGGTGGACCCCCAACTCTGTCATGGTGATATAAAAGCAATACAAGAGGAACCTAATATAATCCCTAGTATCCCTTGTAATCACTATGACTGGGTGCGGGTCCACCTAACCTGACCCCTAAACCCTAAACCCTTGGGCGTCCACCTAAATAAGATCTCTTAGAGCCAGGCATCTGCAATTTAGCGTGTAGCGCTCGGATCATTGAAATTTAGTTTAGCTGTTCGTGAACGCGGCGAAAGGGGACTGTAGGCATGAGATCAAGCCTGTTTCAGAGTACCTGGGCCGCAGAAGTAGGTAAATTTCAAAATAGCCGAAAAGGCAATTATTTTACATACTTTGCGGGTCGTGGTAGTGATAGTCGGGATTACTGAATATGCGGGGGTATTTCGGGCCATCCACATCTTTGGAACGTCTCAAGTGAGGGAGACCAAGGCCCAGCAAAGGCGAGCAATGGCCCTACTGAAAGCTTGACAAACTTGAGAGGTGACTTCGTTTTCACATTTGAAATCATTTTGCACACGGTGATGTTAAGGGCATGATGTGCTGATCCGTGTCCATTTCCTCATGTCCAGATCATAGGTCCTGATCAGTAAGGGAACCATGCTTTGGAGAATGCTGCGAGCAAGTCGGAGCTAGGAAGGAGAGCGCCCAAGACACAACAAGGTTACGGTTACAACCTGTAGCCCGCCCTCCTGGGTGCCATTACAGGCCAGACTGCAGTTCAATGTGCCTAGAATGGAGCCCCGCGTGGGCCTCACACCCTGAACCCTAAGGCCCAACACCCTCAACAGGGAAGTTATCCAGAAAGGTCTCTTGAGTGTCCATGTTTGGTTGGGAGGGTGATACTATCTGGAACGCTCCCACTGAAGCATTTTGTCAACCTAGCTCTCCACCCCCACACGGGAGTTTCGAAAAATGAGCGGCTCCAAAAACGACCCCAACATACCACAGCCCTTCTTGTAGGTATACGGAAACCCCATATCATGTAATGACCCTCTCTGTTGGCAGAGGTGTTGGTTTGTGGAGTTCTTTCGAAGAGGGGCTGTCATGGTAAATATCAACCCTGAAGGCCTAAACCCTGAAACCTAAACCTTAAACCCTAAAACTCTAAGCCCTGAACCCTAGACCTTAAACTCCAAACCCTAAACCCCTGAACCCTTAACCCATTAAACCCTAAACCGTAAGGATCCAGTCTGTCAAGGTTCGAGCCTGGGTGAAGTACAGATGATTGAGGGGTTTCAGGATTTGGGTTTAGGGTTTTAGGGTTTTAGGGTTTATGGGTTTAGGGTTTTAGGGTTTCAGGATTTGGGTTTAGGGTTTAGGGTTTTGAGGGCATACATAAAGGGGTCAAAAAAGGTTATATAAGGTTTTGTAGGGGTTATAGGGGGCTTTATATAGGGCTTATATAGGGTTTATAAAAATTATGGGTCCCTTTCTGGAGGTCCTTACCTTCAGGAGTATATGTTGGTGTCCCTATTGGAGGGGGTGTAGGATTTGGGGTTTGGGGTAAGCAGTATAAAGGGTTCCAGGCTTGCAGTAAATGTTTGTGCATTCGTATTCCAATGCATGTGACGCAAGTGGTTGAAATGAGCCTGCTGCAGTGTTTGGGTGAATTGGGGAAAATGACGACCCTGATTTGAGACACCATGACCTAGGAATTGGGGCTTTTGCCGTTATGTCACGTCAGCAACAACAGAGACCATAACTACCACTGCTACGACCGTGGCCAATGTTACTACGACAGGGGCAATGACTATTACGTCACCCTCCGTGTTCCCATCCACTCCGGCTTGGTCGCTGATCTCAGGCGACTGCAAAACTGACGAGCTCGGTTGCATCATGAGCCCAGGGTACCGTGGAGCTTCAATGTATGAGAGCAATCAGCAGTGCGAGTTCGAGGTCCTCAACTCGTCTTACCAGATGGAAGTGTTGGACTTCCAGGTCGAAGCCGACAATTGGGATTACCTGCTTGTGGATGATGCCCGCTACAGCGGGAAGAAAACGCCACATGGAAAGATGCCCACGAAGACGATCCAATGGTACTCGGATTACAGCGTGGTTAGCTTTGGATGGAAGATTTGCCCAAAGTCTGTTCCAGCTCCTGCTCCATCGCAACTCAGTCAATCTGAAGGTACGAAGTCCCTCGGCGTGCCACTTGTCCACAAAGGGGTTTGCTGGGCCGTTTTGTCCTTGTTGGCACTGTTTTAGTTTGGCCGGCTTCTTTGCCATGGGTCTGCAATGCCAAGCAGGATTTGCTTCAGCACACGTTTCACAGGCATTCACATGCCAAGCCTGGTTTTGGTGGAGGTCCGGAGGAGTTGCATGCATACTGCCCCAAGTTCTCATGGAATTTCAATAACGGCGATGTGCATATGCACTTTGTGGCGCGATTATAGCTTGCACAATCCCAACTCCTGATGCACGGCAACTGCAGATGGCACCCCCGCAAGAAAGATCAGTCCAAATAGATGAAATAAACGATATTTATCAAATCAGAATATAGAGATAATATGGACAACCCACCTTTTCCATGATCCACCGACCCACTGAAAACACTGTAAACACCGATAGAAGCAAGCATGTTTGCATGATCAGATTTTGGATACGCCCCAATATCGCATTGAATTCTATTTGATGTGAATATATTTGGTACCTTATATTCAACTAATGATACGAAATAAGATATATGATATTTCTTTAATCTGGAATGAAATTTCAGGGGAAGCAATCCGTCCGACGGACGCGTAGCTGGCAGTGATCTAAGCATTGCAGTCGTGATGCGGTGTGTAGGTGCTGGGATATAGCTCCAGGTGTTAAGTAGGGGATATGGCGTTGGGACAATGTAGCCGCCCTAACGCCAAGAGGAAACATTTGAACGCGCGTCTCATCTGTAGCCAAGGTCATAGAACATCGAATTGGATATTTGGGAGAACGTTCCTTCCGTCTCCTGTCCCCGCAATAAATGAATAGATCTATAGTCTATATTTCTGAAGTACGAAGGAAGTGCGTGATTTCAGGAATTAACGAATATACTTCAATATTCCAGCGCGGCCACTTGCGGTCATTTCGCTCGCGCGCGGCCTAGGTTTTCCGGCTCACCTTTACAATGCCTCCTGCGGGCTCCCTAGGGGCTCTAAAATCTCGGAGGTTTTAGAGCCCTTCGGAAAAGCTAGAGGCTCTAGAATCTTCGAGATTTTTGGTGTGGGCAGCGCGACCAAAAATCTCGGAGACTTTTGGTCGCACGGCCCTTGCTTCCGGAGTGGTTTTCCGCTCGGCGGAGGAGAGCATAGATCCGGAGAACCAAATTCTTTCAGAATTTATAGGTTGGCTGTATCTGTCCCCGGGGATATATGCGCTCCCCCGAGCCGCCGCGTAGATAGCTCAAGAAAGATAGATGAAGCGGAAAGATCGGGCTGGATGCGGGGGCCGCTCGATCCGAAATCTCTTAAAATTTCGATCAATTTCTCTCTTCGGCTATCTGCGCGGCGGCTCGGTATAGACCCTGGATGGAGATCCAAAATCTTTCAGAATCTATTAGGTTGGCCGTTTTTGGTACTTCAACGACCCTTTCTCTCCCCACGTCAAATCTTGTAACAGGGAATTGCCCCACCTGTTGAAGTCGTCCTGAGGAAGTACCTAACCCGGCTGGCCCACGCAGAAGGCCAGTTGCGATAAGGTCACGACTACTGTCGTGGACAGAGCAGCTACGACTCTGTCTGTCAGAGCAACCTCTGCAGCACGCTGCTTAAAAATCAAATCCACAATGGTCGTCATAGCGTCAAAATTGTGCGTCTAGAAAACTTGAGCTGTATCTGACTGGCATGGCTGAGCTGTGCAACATGTGTCGCAAACAATTTCACAAGTGCCGGCTGAATAAGATGTCCGCTAAATGTATACACTGCAAGCTCACGTGCACTTATTCACGGAGACTTATGTGCTCCCCCGAGTCGCCACGCTGATAGCCCAAGAGGAATAAATGAGGCGGAAAGACCGGGCTGGATATTGGGGCCGCACGATTCAAAGGCCGCGTGATTAAAAATCTTCGAAGATTTCGAGCTATTTCTATCTCCTTGGCTGTCTGCGCGGCGGCTCGGGGCAGAGATCTAAAACTTTGCAGAATTTAGATGTCACTTGCAATCTTAAAATCTTGATAGTTCATTGGGGTTGTACGTGCGAGTTTATTTATTTCTTAGATGTCGGATTTTCCGTTATTTTTTGAAATTAATATTTTCTATTGTTGCAGGCAGCGGGCTAATTCTAATATTCTTTATTTCGATATAAATTAATTGCGGTAGTCAATAGATGATGATCTTCATATTCTGAATTTCTAATATATTCATATATTAGCGATTCAAAATATATGTATGATTTTTTCTGATTTTAATATAGCGTCATATTTATATAAAAATTCAAAAAATAGAAGCTAATATAATCGAGATATTAATCAATATATTCGATATAAGCTTTTATATTAATTATTTTAGAATTGAATCATTGGGATATCTATAGAATATTGGTATCATATATTTCATTATAAAAAAGATTCGATTTTAGTTTATGATATATTTAGAAAGAAATCATTATTTGCAGAAGCAGAATATCGTGATTGGATTATAGTCGTAATGACAAATGATTTGATATGGAAGAAGATATATAGAAATTTTAATGATATTCTTTATAATTTGGCATCTTGAATTTTGAAACGACGCCGGAATTTGAAAATTGAATATTGGTAGTCTAATAATAGCTGAAGGAATTATATATTTGGAGATATTGCTATATATATTGAATCGATCTTCTAAGAAATAGGAGATCGTCTCGAGGTATTCTTATAGAGACGGATTTATAGAATGCAAACTAAGCATTTGGGGAGATATCTCAGAATTTGATGATTCTTTTTTCGTAGGCAATTTAATGCGATCTATTTTTATTTCTTATTTTATACGCAATCTTCTATAGATATCTAGACTTCTAATTTCAATTCGAATCCCGAATCGTGATCTAGGTCTATTTCTCTATTGGATAGATTTGGGGGCTCTATTTCTTTGATATTTTCTGAAATATCGTCTGATAATTATTAATCTTACGGGCGAATATCATGAGATCATTCTGTAAGAATCTCATATGATATCAGATATTCTCATTAATCGTGGATATTTTTCGCGCTGATTAATATCGATCAAGGTATGGTCCCCGAGAGACCCCAATTCCCTATCTCAGATCTATAGATTCCGGCGAGCCATTGCGCAGACAACCAAAGAGAAAGAAATAATTCGAAATCTCGGGAAATTTTTTTCGTGCGACCCAAATTTCGTTCCGATCTTGGGCTAGTTGTTACGCGGCGGATCGGAAAAATATATAATATCCGTAGATAGATGCGACCAATCTATAAATTCTGAAAGATCTAGATTCTCCATCTCGGGCCTATATATTCGACCGACAAATTACGCATATAGCTAAAGAAAGATGAATCATATAGAATTCCGCTCCAGGGAGCAAGGACCGCAGACAGTCAAAGAGAAAGAAATAATTCGAAATCTCGAGAGATTTTTTATTCCTGCAGGCCAAGTTCTCCAGTCCAGAATTTCTGCTTTATTTATCTCTCTTGGATCAATTATTGCGTCGTAGCTTGGGGATCAGGAGAGCCGGCTCTTTACATTCCGTCGAGCAATCCCATAAAGAATCAAAGAGAGAGATGAATCATTCGCAATATTGCTCGGGCGGAGGGGAAAGACCGCGCGACCAAAAATCTCCGGGATTTTTGGTTGCGCTGCCCGCATCAAAAATCTCGGAGATTTTAGAGTATCTAGGGAAAGAGAAGTAGGCTTGGCATCAGGCGTAAATTAAATCCCCAGCTTCTAAACCCTGGCTCATATATGAATATCCCTCAACGCTCCATCTTCTATCGCAAGTCCGTAATTGAAACCTGAAAGCCCCAAACCCTGCAGCGCTAAAATCTTAATATCTAAATCCTAAACCTAATATATTCTATATATGCAATTGCGACAACTACAATTTCCAATGCTTCACCGCACGCAACCACCAGTCCTGCAGCGGACCCTGCTTCGTCTGGCAACGGCCCGGAGGAGAGCTCAAAATAAGATTTCTTGACCCTACCGCTCGATTCCATATTGGATCATACGGCGGATACGTCGGTGAGCTAGACCGCAAAGCTGGCCTTGGCAGCATTGGCATCTCAGAATCTTTTGAAATGAAGATTTTCAGATAATCAATCGTATGATCTTCATGTAAAAGACTAGCTTTTCCGAAAATTCCTAAATTCTCCGAAATTTTAGAATCCCTATAAAATCCGCAAGAAATATTCTAGAGACGAGCCTAAAAAAGCGAGACCGCGTGCGGCCGAAATGCCAACAATATCACGCTAAAATATTAAATATAAATTTATCAATTTTCAAAATACGATATACGAATATAAATATCTATATAGATAAATGAGAAATAATTGAATTGTTTCAAAGAACGATTTTCATATATTCTTTAAGAAATATATTCTCTTAGTCAATTATATCTTCTTATGAAAAAAATATATGAACGATATTATTTTAGATAACCTAATTCAAAAATATAAGAAATTTCTTAATCATTTTAAATATTTTCTCTAAATATATATTCGAAAGATATCTATTTCTTCTATAAATTTCTTAAAAGAAAATAATATAATATTATTAGTTCTGGGGTCCGGTATAATTGAGAGAAGAATTTAGAATTAAACCTTAAACCCCGAATCCCTATCTCCCTAAATCCTAAACCCAATCACGTCAGCCCCCAAACCTATATTAATAATCATTAAATAAGCTTAAATTGATTCGTCTCCGAAATCTTTTCAAGAAATCATATCAATAATCCTATTATCATTCAAAATTCATTATCACGAATATCTGAAATAAATCTATAAATATAGAAATCGAAAAAAAGATATTCTCCGAATTATCCCAATCCTAAAAAATATATTTGAAATATAGATAAAAATGAAATTAAGAATATACGGAAATAATAATCATATCTTCTATTCTTGGCCCAATATTCTCGAAATATAAAAATTCATATCTATAAGATCTATATTTGAAATCCATAAATAGATAATTAGATGAACTTTGCCATTTTAATTTCTTCCCGATTAGCATATTTTAAATCTCTCGTTAATCTATATTGATAGTTTAGACATTTTTGAATATTAAGAATTGACC